GGCTGCTGCGTGCAGCTCCCGCTTCAGGGTGATCAAGCTGGACCACGGTACTGGGGAGCCCTACAGGCGAGGCCGATGGACGTGTATGGAGTACTATGACCGGGACTCCGATGGTGGTGTTCTCGGCAGGACTGGAGATTGCATTAGGCACAGCAGCACCTTTGAGCAGGCTGCTCAAGAGAGGGACAGTGGCCTCGGTGCCACAGGAGGTTCTGTTGTGGTCTCGGCTGTGCCAGCATCAGCCCATGGCCCCGATTCTATAGCTGACAGTTCCCTGGCTGCTGTGTCACAGCTGCTCCAGACAGAGAAAATGAACCAGTCCTCTCTACAGCAACCTAGTTTTGTCATTGGGCAACCACAGCAGCCGCAACAGCCCGTAGGTGGGGCCATGCCTCAGAGTACTGCTCAGCCTGCGTTTTCTGGGGCTTCGGGAGCAAGTCAGCAAATGATGGTGCCACAGCAACCGCAGCCACAGGTAAATCCACAGGGTGTTGCACAGGCTGGACCCAACGGGAAAGGCATGGCAAATGTGACAGTAGGGCAGCCGAGCGTTCCTGTGGCCCAGCAGCAGGTGCAGCAGGCCAGCATACCAGTGACTCAGCCTCAACAATTTGCTTATTCTCAGTCCCAGATTCCACCAGTGCACCTACTGCCGACGCAGCCTCCTGGGCAGGCCGAATACATGCAGCATGTGACAATTATGCAGTCTCAAGGAGCTGTTCAGCAGGCTACTACAGGTTCTGCTCCAAGTACTGTGGCCTCCAGCCTGCCTGTGGGGCAGGTGATGGGCCAAAACCCCTCGCCTGTGGGAGCACCAGTGATGGGGGTGTCAGCACAGCCCGGTGAAGCAGTCGGCCAGGGGTCGGGGTTGCTGCAGAGTGGCCAGGCACAGGCTAGTCAACCTGCCGTCCCACAGCCGGGCCTTGGACAACCAGGGGTTGTGCAACAGAAATCTGTGACTCAGCATCCAATGGGGGGAAGCAGTCAAGTGTCAGGAATGCCTGGTGCTCCCCATGCTGTGGTCCCTGGAGTTCAGAGCGTGCCTGCGGTTGTGCCCGGTACAAGTGTGCCTAGTGTGTCCACCACTGCTTCTGTCACTATGCCAAACGTCCCTGTTACCCTGGTGCAGTCCCAGCTGACGAGCCACCCTTCTGCCAGCAGAAGCACCGGCGCGGTCCAGCCCCAGCACGTGGGACACTCGATGATGCAAGGCGCGCCCAGCGCACCCGCCAGTCTGCCTCAGGCAAACCTTGGACAGTTTCAGACCCAGGCCCAGTCTGTAGTAGGCCAGATTGATGATACTAGAAGAAAATCAGAACCCCTACCTCAGCCACCCCTTTCTCTTATAGCTGAAAATAAACCTCTTGTGAAGCCTCCCATTCCAGACACTCTAGCAAATCCTCTTCAGTTACCTGCAAGTACTCCTATCAACAGTCTTGCTAGCTCTGTGTTTGGCATATCCATTCCTGTTGATGGTGATGAAGACAGGTATGCGTTATTTTATAATACCTTAAAAAATAACTGGGCTTTTGGGGGGGAGGAAACAACTTTTGAGTTATTAGCAAATGCTTTATGTAAATTCATATTTTCAGAAAGTCACGCTGAAGTTTTAAGAGCACAAACCACAGTGAAGTATTTAGGCAAGTAGTGTACTTATTCTTCTTGTACTTATTCTTCTTAGGGTGTGAGTGCAATTACTTTTTGCACAAAACGGGGCAGAAAGTAGCCTGAAAGCTGCTTAATGCACAAATAATATGAACTGTTCAGAATCAAAGACTGAAAGCTGTCTTTCTGCAGCCAGTGACTCGAGATACGAGGAGGGCTGTTCTTTCCTCTGAATGCATCATAAGACACTCCAATGACAGCTGGGTTAAAGTGGATTTATCAACACCACTGTACTGCAGTGCTGTTAAATCTGTGTGGTGCTGCCCAAGGGCCATCAGGGGAGGCATCTTGGGAAGCTTGGGGCTTTTAACACACATTCTTTATTTTTATCCCCCTATGGAGTTGGCTTTTTATAGTATCAGTAAGGAAAGTACTTGCTCCTGGGTATGGATTTGTGTGGATATCCTTACACAGTGAAAGCTCTACAGAGAATGGTCCTTTGTATTGAGAAAACAGACACCACTTGGGCGAAGATGTGGACATGGTGGGAAGTACAACCTTACAGTGAGTTTTCTCTCCTGGAAAGTAATTTGGAACTGTGAGTTGTAACAGAGGTGTGTGGTGTGGGCAGACTCATCAGAAGGCCTGAGAGGGATCCAGTGTGTGGCTGCTATTCCCATAGATGTGTCAGACTGCTCTGAAGGGTCGTGGCCAAAGTTGCTTAATTGACTTCTTTGAGAGAAGACTTTGAGGGAAAGCAGTGTTTGAGCACTGAATGAATGTCATTGACATTTACTGTTGGGGTTGCTGCAGTTTGGAGGAAGGAAATACATGTGGGTTATTTGTGTTTGTATTTTTAAAGATGGGAGTTAGGCCATTATGAGCGGGTCTTGTGGTGAATTTCCCTGTTAGCCTTTCCTCATCTGGGGACAGCACCAGACTTTCCAGATAACACAGTCAGTGTGGCTCGGAGCATGTTTTAGTAAAGCAGCTGTGTCTGTGGGGTTGGGGTGCAGAGGATGGAGAGGGCACCTCAAAGTGAGTGTTTGGTGAGTTCAGGCTGCAGATTTAGTGCAGGCCTGTGCTCACTGGAGCTTTGGCTGCTGCTGTGTCTTAAGAGTAACTGGTGATGCCTTTCTGCAGGGAAAAGCCATGGTTTGGAGAGCTGTGCTTGTTCTGATTAAAGCGGTAAAGGACTGACAAGAAAAAGGGAAACAGTTAAAATTTCCTCACAGTTTGCCTACCTTAAGAGGATTGCTGACCCGGATGACAAACTGCCTTGTGCAAATAAGGTTAGATTTCGAGCTGGTGGGTTCTTTTCATAGCTCAGTGTTTTATCAGAAGATGATTCGTCTGGTGCTTAATCATTCTGTTGATTAAGGAGTCAGAAAGAAAGGAATGCATTTTGCGTTTGTTTTGCATAGCTTCTAACACTTAATATAAATTGTAGTAACGAACATGATTATCTGTGACAAGTGAATTGCTTTTATGTAACAGTAAGGAAAAACTTGCCCTACTTACTCAAACTGGGGGCTGCTAACTTTGTGTTGCACTCTAGTGAGGCAGTTCTTGGTGCTCTTATCCAAACAGTGATTTTTAAAGCTGTTTTCCTAGTTTAGTCTTTGAACTTGCCAGCTTGCAGCAGTGCTTCACTTGCTGTTCATTTCTAAAGAGACTCTTGCAGACACTTCACCGTGAGAACCACGAGTAAGAAATGGAAATGGGCTCTGAAGGCAGCTTGCTCTTTTTGACAGGCTGTGGTGTTCAGTAGGGAAATGAGCCTGTGGTTATCAGAGGAGGAGCACACACGTCTCGTTTGTCACCTTCTGCACTGGGTGATAAAACTGTGCAGCGTGCTGGGTGCTCAGGAAACCAGGAGCACACCTGTGCTGTGAGAGTCTCTCCCAGATGGGAATGGCTTTCTTCAGTAGTGACCCTGGTAAGCTGTGAAGGCTGACCTTAAATAGGCCTAGACCTCATACAACGTCAGAGATCTCTACAGAGCCAGTAGATCCAAGTTTATTCTTTGCTCCCCTCAACCAGTAGCCTGACTTCTACTAGTTTCAGACAAAGAAAGGTAAGAATAAAAGCCTAGCAGCTTGTTAAGGCTGTTTTATTGCTTGGTTTTTGTGTGCTTTACTCTGTGAGAAGGTTTTACTGTAAAAGTGTCTCCTGCTTGTCTGCCGTTCTCTTCTTGCTCCTGCTTTTTTCCTCTTTCCAGCTATTTAAGGTTTACCACTGCTCCCATGGGCTTTGCCCAGCTACTTTTTCTACTGCAATCAGTGGTGAAATAGTTAATGAAGACCTTCAAATGTCATTAATAGGCTGGGGGTTGACACTGATAAGGCTAGTAGGGTGCAAAGGGAGCTGATACATCATGAGTCATGGTTTGTGCCGGCAGGTCCAGGAAGTTAACGCTCGGCTTAGTTTGGAGAGGTTACTTGGTGGTCATGGGAGCTAGAAATCTGTAGAAAGCATTTTTCTCTTGCTGTTAATGTGCAATGTCCCCAGGAAGGGGGGTCAGTGTGTAGGCAGGTATCTGCATTTCTTCCGACACCTTCAATTATATTTAAATACTTGCATGTTCTTGAAGCTTGACAAACTTGTATAGATCATGCTCCTGTAGTGATCTTCTATCACAGTGACTCATCAAGGAATAGTGTATAGCTCTCAATATCCTGAATTTATCTAGAAAGTCCTTCACCATTCTGAATATGAGGAGGAACTGTTCTAAAGGTAGCATAGTTAAGATGGAAATTCTTTGAAAGCAGCATGTCAGGAATACAGTGAGGGTGAGACAGGGCTGATGTAAAAAGCTGGTTGGTTCACATATTTCTGAAAAAGGTCTTTTGTATTATTCCCGTCTTATGGTTTGCTGTTTTAAATCAAACTACATCTAGGGTAGTTAGGAGTGGAGGTGTAAGGATACGTAGCCAGATAAATAGATAGATAGAACTGTGTGTTTATAGATGTAGAATGACTTTCTTCCAAGCCATTGCCTGAAGACTTTTTAATTTCCTGTTCCCATAGTCCAGTACGCTTTGACAGCAGTCTGGACAAAACTGTGGTTTTTTGCATTGACCTGATGAATAATGAAGAATCAATTAATCGAGCTATCTTACCTGGAAGGGAAGAGGGGGTAGGTAGGTAGGCAATCCAAAAGAATGAAAAAAAAAAAGAAAAAGGAGAAAAAAGCCTTTGGCATGTCATACCTTCCTTGAAAAGCAAAGCTGGTTTTTCAGTTGATGTGTCCAAATTGCTAAGCTCTTAAAAAGAGAAATTTGTTGTGTGGGACGTTATGGAATATCTACAACATAACAGTTTTCCTCTCTAAATGTGGATGCAAGTGGTATAAACTGCAGCACTATTCAAGGATGGGCGAAGTAGTACTGTTACTGAGGCAGATGTGGGTATTGCAGTCCACTTTGAAAGGGAGCCTGACAAATACTGAAAAGACACAAGTAGAACTGGATCTCAAAATTGCCCCGACTCTTCATTTGCTGGACTTGAGCAGCTGGACTAATGATTTTGGAGGGAGGGCAGTTAGATCACCTGTGAGGATTTTGGGATCAGTGTGTGTCAGGTTCTCTACTCACCTTTCTGCCCGTGTATACACAGATTTGTAGCTGACAAGCAGAATATTTCAGCTGGCTTAATAACTTTATTTTGGCTCTTGGGGGAAAAGAAATATGTTGCCTCTGTTAAAAGAATGTTACTGAAAAAGCTTGTTCAAACCTCCTACATGTTTGGCAGACTTTTGGGGCAAAATATTACTAGGGCTGTTGGAAAAAGAGCAGAGTATAGATCTTTTTCCAGAGATAACTGACTGGCTTGAGCTGTTCCGGCCGTATTCCAGGAACGCTAATGAATGGCTGCAATTGTGAACTGTCAACTGCAGCAGCTGAGTTGTTGAGAACCTGATTGTGCAGGGCTGTCTCCCAGCTCAGCTAAATCATGTATTTGCATGGAGCACTAACTGTTGGTAGAACTGCAGGCTTAAGACCATCTTCATCCTATAAGGACAAAAGCGGGCACAGGATCACTTAGGTGTTGCCCTAGATGCATATTCTGTTGTGCTCCTTCAGGAAAACAAGTATTCTGCAAAGACATACCAGTACCTTGAATTGCATTGGTATTGAGTATTGTCCCTTTCTTCACCTTGCTCATAAGCCTAGAAAGGGTTTGAGCTCTCCTCCTGGAGGCCTGTGTTTGCGAGTGTGTGTAGGAGCAGATGAGAATGAACCTGGACAGACATGCTCCAGAGCCAGGAGTGCCTTCGGTTTGACAGCCAGAGCTACAGCTCAGTTTGAAAACCAGTTGAGCTGAGACTCAGTTGATGGCAGCAAATGATGGTTAATGCAAACAAACTCCAGTTAGTTGTGTTCAGTTCTTGCTGTATTTTCTATAACAAAAATTACCAAAGGTAACTGCAGCACCACACCAGTTTCTGGGTAATGGAAAGCCTGTCCTGCTGTGCAGTCAGTTTTGGAGTGGTGCAAGATATCTAAACAGAACTGCTGTTGCTCATTTGACAGTGCTGTTTCCCAGCTTAAACATTCAAATGCCTTTGTTAAGGAGGAGTCAGTACAATCTTAGAATTAATGAGACAAAGTGTTTCAGATGAGAGAGTTATTGAAAGGAGGAAATGGGGACACTATTCAGTTTGTTTCAAAGACTGTGATGGCCAGCCCTGACACAAGCAGTTCCCTGGACCTTGGACTCCCAGGTGTTCTGCTCAGCTGCTGGGGGTTAATTTTTTCCTGCTCCCCTACAGAAGAGTGCAAATGTTCCATAGCTGATTTCTGAATGTTGAATACATATTTGTTGCATGGCAGAAATAACAGCATATGTTTTATGGAAGCTATTTTAAGCTTCTTCTTAAA